TCGTCTTCATTGAGATAGTTGATGTATTGAAGAATTACAAAAATATGTCGCGTTCCAGTTATGAATGTTGAAAACGATATCCAATATTCTATGTAGGGCTCATGATTCAAATTTGAAATTGATCCTTAGTTTTAGATCCGAGCAGCACATCGTTTGGCCTTCAAGGTCCTCAATATAACCCACGTACGTAATTGAAAATGTGGAAGATGGCTACTGGAAAAAAACACTATTCGGAAATAAAGCGGATATGTAGCAATCCAGTTACGGAAGTTGAATATATTATTCAGGTATGTCTCAGATTCAACATCCATGTATAATTCATCTAATGATATTTATTTTCTGATATGAATGTACTTCGATTGATATGTGATGTTCTGTTGCAGATCAGAGAAGCAGTATTTGATACTTGCCACTCAATCGGAGAAAACCATCCAGTCCATACTAGAGTCCATACGAACCAAACAGAAGATTCACAAAGTGAACTGACCAGAGTATACTTATGGTGACTAGTTATGTTATATACTTGGTATATCATGACTTGATAGTGTGACATCGATGTGACATTTTCATAATATAATTACAACTCAAAGTTTTATAATTTTTATCAATTGTATCCAGAATACGGTGACCCCGACGTGATATTATGGAGCAGTTGAGCGAGGGCGAGATCATACAAACTTTACGACATTTCAACATCCATATGTTATAGTGATTCGATTGAATTTTCGGATATCAAGGAAATGCTGACAGAGTATATATTCGAACAACTTATAAGGACCAATTCTACGAAGCCCACTACAGGAGCATTCTTTCAGAGATTTTATCAAGAATCATACCAAATGATGTTTCGAATACCATTTTTACGAAGAAGATCGAGAGACTTGAACAATTGTGCGAAATTCTGATCGTCAAATTTGATGAAAATAATACAAAATATGAATATGGAAGCAAGACTCGATATTATGGCAAAACATCGTGAAAGTTCAACATTTCCAAACAATATCATGCCTCATGGCATCATCTCCTCAGAAGACACAACTCGACATTCCAAGAAAGAGCAAGAATCAATTAAATCAATTAACCAACTTTCTGGAAACATGAGCCTGCATTATGCAGTATTGCTAATAAATTTGGGAATGCAATATTGCGCTCTGGGTTTGGTTTTGTAGGTCTCTCTGTATATGTTTTTTCCTAATATCATTCAACTCAAACGCACGAGTATTTTTTCAATTTCCATTAATAAGATTTTGATCTGACTCTGATTCCTCCCCAGCAAACATTGAACTAGCGGGAGAAGTCCGGCCTAGTGCAGGCTAGTCTGGGAAAGTGACGATGCCGGGGTATAGGTAATGGGCCGATGATTTTCCTATACCAAGTAACCATCAGTTGAAAATACGATGATGGCCTTGTGATGGTGAGATGTCTGGAACTAATTGAATACTAACTGGCCCTTCGCTGGCCAATTTCATATTCACTACTCGTCCCCCTGGTGGATGTTTTGGGAACGTCTACATCAACAATCAGCTGATCAATATCATATGTGACTAAGATGGCTGACTCTCGTGAGTGGTGATCGCGTACTAGTTTGTTTATGTCGAATTAATGTGGTCCTCTCTGTCCGTGGTGGTTATTTATGATGGCAGGAGTATTATCAATTGATGATAATAGAACACAGATTCTTCAATTATGATAATATTGAAATATTGAGTAAGTATCAATGTACCTACATAGTGTTTTGACTTTAATTATTTAATGCATGTGTTTGGTATCTCGTAACCTCATATATATATATATACCTAATGATCATGATAATCGGAGTTAACTATACTTCTCTAAAAGCAACCATCATTTTTAACTCGTTTGTTGCTATCAAAAGCAATCTCAGATTATGTGAACCTATATCTATATTAAAGAACTGAATAACAATAAGATTTCAGCTACAGAATTACCTGTGCCAAGACCATAATGAGAATTGAAAAGCTCCATGTTATCACGTCATTTGACTATATTATCAAGTAATATAAACTCATACTCATGCAACTCATAGGCCACTAATATGAAACAAATGATGCATTTTATATTTCAGAAGTTCCTAACAACGGAGTATCGACTCCGGAGGAATGCTACCCAATAAGATGTAGATACCAAATACCAACCAGTAAGCAGTCACTCCGAGAAGTTTCATCATTGAAGAACAGAGAGGTTAAAAAGATATCATTGTGTCATTCATAAAATTGTTTTCTTGAAATCTGATATGTGTCTGATTTATGATGAGAGGGTTATGTCTTGAAATAAAGAGGTACTAGAACTTTCAGATCCATTGGACCCCTAAAACCCCTACCCCTCCCCTACCTCGATAGTATGTAACCAATGTCGTTAATTGGCCATTACAGTCCCATCATTTATGTATATGCTGGGCTTGCTATGGAAAACTCAATGTGTCGATTACGTTGTACTGGCCTTTTGCCGGGGAACTGAATATGATTGCTGGGAAACCAGCACTGGGACCAGATGCCGGCCGCAGTGTACTGATATATAGAGTCCCGCATATGGGACCATTTACTGGGCCGCTGATGTCAGGTATGGGAAAAATATACTAGGCCATTGATGCCCCATATCAAAATGTTTGCTGGGTCAGGTCACCCTATGATAAATAATAATATTCCATTTGGTTCAAGATATTTTATATGCCTCTGGTTGTGTAGGTCGCTCTGTATATGTTTTTTCTGATATTCATTCGTCTCGAACACACCGTATATTTTTTCAATTTCCATCAATAAAATTTTGATCTAGATCTTATTATTAATAATAATAATAATAATAATAATATCATTTATTCTCATAATTTAAATATAAAAATATACATTTAGGTCACCCTGTATATCTTTTCTTTACATATTTCATTTGATTCAAGATATTTGATCTGCCCTGGTATTTGTTTTATCTCATATTCATTCGTCCCGAACACACTGTATATGTATTCATTTTTCATCCAACTCATACGTCAACTGTTACACTTCATCGGTCATCTGTCACCAGTCATCAACTGTCATCGGTCATCTGTCATCGGTCATCACTCTGTGCATGTTTTTTTCTGATATTCATTCGTCTCGAACACACTGTACATTTTTTCAATTTCCATCAATAAGTTTCGATCTGGCTCTAATTCTTTAGGTCGCTCTGTATATGTTTCTTCTGATATTCATTTGTCTCGAACACACTGTATATGTATTCATTTTTCATCCAACTCATACGTCAACTGTCACACGTCATCGGTCATCTGTCACCGGTCATCAACTAACATCTGTCATCGGTCATCAACTGACATCTGTCATAGGTCATCGGTCATCTAATTGCAGAATTTTCAAAACTGTCTGATGTCATAAATTATACCGGACATAGATGGCCAGGTAGCCGTGCGGACAGAATGTCTATATTCTAATTCGCATTCGCTTGCCGGTCGTGGGTTCGATCCCCGTCGACTGCAGAAATTTTTCTGATGGCCCAAGAAAGTGTTTGGGATCACACGTTAAAAGGTAAGGCACCCGTCATTCCTTGCTCGCACAAGACTTAGACTTTTGAGGGTTGCTCGTAAGGGGGCAACCGAATGACGGATAGAACAAATTTACAAACAAAACAAAAAAAACAAAATAGCATTGGGCTCAGTTTCAGAAGATCAAAATAGCAAAATATTTCGAACCAAATTGTGGGTCACTGAAGTTTTTTATGAAAATATCAGGAAAACTGCGTTGGCTCCGGCCTTCTAGTGGTATTCAAGGTTGGTAGAACTGATTATAATTAGTACAAAATAATCATCGGTTCTACCAACCTTGGTGGTATTCAAATAATCACTGCTCTAAACAATCTAAACTGCACTTTCAACATTAGTTTATATAATTATTACTTTACCACGAATTGAAAATATGTAGGATGCAAGAGTGAAAATAACGTGCCCATAAGTTATACTGTATACCTACTTCTTTGTTACTCACATCAATACATTGTTTGGAAATGCCTTTTTATTCAAGGGAGGCGGAAAAATCATATGTATAACATGAGGGTAAAGTATATTATATTCTTCATTTTCCTGCAATTTCACGTTTCACTTTTTATAAGCCTACTTTTCGTCCTAGAAGTCACTCCATAAATTTTTCTCCGAGTTGGATTTCCGAAAATATATTTAGCACACATGACATGAGTTCTCAATCATAAGGCTCAGCTCATTCAGCTCATAGTTAAACTACTGCTCAGCTTGAAATCAGAATTCATTCAGTCAATTCAGTCAACCCTGGTATACAGTCTAGAAGAACAGTCTCTTTCGATGAAATTTAAGCTTTTAGAACAAAATATAATATGTTCCCTACCTCGTAAAGATTATACTGGAGTAGTAAACTCTGAAACTAGAGGATTGTTCAACTATATCTTGGTATAGTTGAATCAAGAATTCCATATGGAAATTACGTATGATACGCCAATGACCTCAATATAACCTAAAAAACAACAAATGTCAAAAATCTAGTGTTTATCCCCAGAATTGAATAAGGATGAAACTATACAACTGTTTCACAAACACTTTAGAGTGACAGGAGACGAGGATCTGTCCGTACCCTGTTAAGATGACTTTAACGTAAATTTCCATCCAATGAACTCAATATATTTAGTTCATTGTTTCCATCAAGGGGCTCTACTACTAATAATCTAGTAGCCAATGACAGCTAAATATCTAGACTGTCTGACGTCAGACAGTCTAGATGTTTAGCATACTCGAATCTAATTCGAAAATGAGTTCAATTCTAGTACGATAAATTTTAACTCAGGAACATCATTGCTTGTCTTGTCACTTGTCAGTTCTACTCATATTCAATATTCATATATCTGTTCTTTGTAGTGAATTTCAGATTTCTGAAAAAAATCAATTTATTATTTCAGCCTATTTTATAAATTGCCCATTCTAATTTCTCTGCTTCATTTATCGTATATCCTACAAGTCTGAGCAACGACTCATACAACGTGAGTATTTAAATATTATTGGCTTTAGGTTTCTGTTAAAAAAACTTGACATGTTGTCATCAAGATAATATTTATGGGACCTTTTTTTGATTCCTGATTTTCAAAAAAATATAATGTCTTAATTTTGCAGATGCCGAATATCAAGCTTCAATCCTCCGATGGAGAAACGTTCGAGGTGGACGTAGAAATTGCCAAATGCTCTGTCACAATCAAAACTATGTTGGAAGATTTAGGAATGGATGATGAGGAAGAAGAAGTTGTACCCTTGCCAAACGTTAACTCTGCTATCCTTCGAAAGGTCATTCAGTGGGCCACTTACCATAAGGATGACCCACCACCACCAGAAGATGATGATAATAAGGAAAAAAGAACTGATGATATTTCATCTTGGGATGCTGATTTCCTCAAAGTTGATCAGGGCACTCTCTTTGAACTCATCTTGGCAGCTAACTACTTAGACATCAAAGGTCTGCTTGATGTCACCTGCAAAACTGTGGCCAACATGATCAAAGGTAAAGCTCCTGAAGAAATACGCAAGACCTTCAATATCAAAAATGATTTCACTGCTTCTGAGGAGGAACAAGTTCGTAAAGAAAATGAGTGGTGTGAGGAAAAGTAGTTTATTTAGTTTATAATCTTTTTTTAAAATTGTTTGGAAATATCCTTATATGTATGTGTAAAGATTCACATTCATGGTGAGTTTATAAACTGAACTAAGCTGACAAGAAAATTAACAATCAAGATTTATAAAGCTGTTCAAATACCAGATATAAAAATTCATCATTACTTATGCTTTTTTTTAAATATCAATTATTTATTAATCTTCTTTGTTGTTCATTTTAAATTCCATGGAAATTTCTAATAGCATTTATATGATTCCAACTATCTTCTGAATACTATTGTCTGTTGATTGATTTCCTAGTTCAGTATAGTTTATAAATTCATCATGGACACTCATGCTATCTAATAAGTAATGCTTGAATTGTAGTGTTCCCCTCTAATATTATAATTAAATTATCGTTTTTGGTCTACATCATTGGGTTTTTATAATTGTGGTTTTTGTTTCAACCTATTTGATGTGATCTACTCTCAAAATCATATTTTTCATCAATGTTAGACATTGGATTGATGAAGTTAAAGTTACTGGAATTGAGATCAAAATAAGAAACTCATTTTTTAATTTCATTCACAGAAATGGCCATATTATACTAGTGACTGAAAATACACACAGGGTGAATCTGAATGAGTTGACACCATATAATAGATGAATTAATACTAACTCAGGATTTGTAATATGTGGTATTGCACTTCTGATTTTTATTTATACTATATCAGTGATCCTGTTCACAATGTGGTGAAAATAGGACATACAAAGTGAAAGCAGATGAGCCAGCTGACTAACAAATTGTTTTAGGGGACTGTGACTGCCATCAAATATAACAGGCAGAAAAGGTGTACTTTTACTGCCTAGGCAGAGAAAGTTTGTTGCTATGCAACATTCCAAGAAATTCTAATGAAATTAGTAATCAAAATTGACACTGACATTGGGTGAACACAAAATGATAGTGTTTTCAATAAAAAAACTACACAAAATTGGTTTTATATCATTTGGAGAAAAAAATTCTATGTTTCACACGGCAGCAAATGTAGATGGACTGCCTAGTAAAACAAATAACTATTTTCACCTAATGTCATGGAAAGTGGCTTTTCTATGACACTTAACAGGCAGTGATGTAGAGTCCGACCACAGCAAAGTCAGGGACGCGAGTACATAAAACTTAGTGACTAGATCATTGAAAAAACGGAGGTATTGTTGGAGTCAAATCGTCATAGGAGATAAGGAGATCCCTGATTGTCCAATGATTCATTTTCAGTTTCAAATCAATATTATCAGTATTACTATCATCAATGTTGTGTTCGCCAGATTCATAGTAGCACTCTACTTGAACCATCCTGTATGGATAGTATGATATTCGATATGATTCGAATATATCATAATATGAACTAAAATCAACTAACCTACTATTCTTTGCTAAAATCATTCGTGTTTCAACAGTTATCCTAAAGCAGGCAGATATCGCGTGCTCCATGTGCTGTATGCACACTGCACAGTCATCCATTGGCAGTCAGAATGATGGATGTAGTGTGCTTAACTGCCGGGAAGCACTCGTTCGAAGATGGCAATTGAATGACAATTGACAAGTGACAGACTACCAAACAGGACAGTGGACAATGACATATAGGAGATTGGAGTAAATAAAAATTTAAACATGACGGATAGTGACATAATATGTTTTCCAAAACAATAATAAAAAATTCTAAAATTATCAGTAAATACATATTGAACTACATTGAAACTAAATGAAATATTAATAGTACGACTCAAGTATCCGAAAATACAATTTGAATCGATTCAAAGATGACAGATTCCGTAAATGGCACACTAAGTACATCAGAAAAAGAAAAAGAATTAAAATTGAATCAGTTGAAGGAGCTATGTTCTGAAAACGCGGAATATTTTTCTAAAGACAGTTCTGAAAATGGCCAGCGGTTGTACATTTCCTTTCTTGCAATAATTGATATATTGAACCAAATATGGCCTAAAATATTGAAACTTGAGAAAGAAGTTTCTTATTTTGATTTTGATGAAAACACCCCTGGTAACGGCTACAGAAGTTTTTTACTCAATATAGATTTAGCTATACAATTAGCTATAGATGTAAATGAAAGGGTACTTCAGAAGAGAGACAGCATCTTGTTCAGAAAAAATTCTCTTACCAAGTAAGTATTATATAACAAGGTATTGAAGTCGACTTACCTCCATTGGAATAGAGATATAAAAATCAGGTTTTATTCTGACTGGTATTCATTTATTGTCAATCGTATATAGGGTGGGTCACGGTCAATGGTACCAGTCATGAATTTATTGTCAATGGTATACAGCATATTCCATAATATGTGGGCATCTCAAGAAAATAAAAAAGTTCTCTTAGCAAAAGTCACAGGAGGATTCATTTGCAAGACACAGGGTTTTGAAGTTGAAAATATTTATAGATTTTTTATGTCCACCCTGTATGGCTCATCCTGGTGGCAAAATTTAATCTGTTATGTGAATGGGATAGTGCCACAATTACAGAATGATATCTATCATGATTATAGAGTAATCTGAACAGATGCCTTGAATGGACTATCCAACATCTACATCAAATTCTGGAGTTGAATTTGGTTATTCAGTTTTTCTCGAAAACAGTGTATCTTTAGGAGGTTCAACACTTGGTGCTTTTTTCTACAAAATTGCATCCTCTTTCATATTTTTTGTAATAAAATTTCAAAAAGTTTCATTGCCACATATGTTTTTTTTTCCTGAAAAATCACACATCAATTAATACCCCTTAACGGTGCTACTGGGAATCAGATTGACATTCAATCACTCTCAGGTACTGAGCTATGCACCAGAATATCAATAATTTTTGTTTATGGGTTATCTAGAATTACAATGAACATTATTTTTTATTTTCAACTTTAACACCCTGTATCTCGCAAACGAAGCTTCTTATAATGTTTGTTTAAGGGAACTTTTTTATTTTCTTGAGATGCCCTATCACCTCTGGAAGTGCGACCTACATATTACGGAACACCCTGTATAGTAGGAGAGCCGACTGCAAATTTCGACCGTCATCTGATAATAATAGTTATTTATTATACAAGGGAAAAAAGTAGTAGATTTTAGCTCCAGGTTGTGTTGTCTCCTGAAGCATAGCTGAGGGAGACAAAAAACCGTGAGCTAAAATCTAATATTTTTCCCGTGCATAATACACTATTTTTTTCTGTGACAGAAGAAAGGACGAATCAATATTGAGAAGATATTACATTATGTTGAAATCTGAAAATTATCGACGTGAAATTTTAGGTTTTTAACAGTGGGGACACCTGCGTTGTAGGCATCTTTATCATTCTTTTGAAGTAATCAAATATCTGATGTCACTTCTGTCAGTCTAATTCTGTGATTCGATTTCAAAAAATTGCGAATTTATTGGTTGTTTAGTAATATACATAACCGCGAAGTCGAATGGGAGATAAAAGGACTTTCAGTTCTTTCTGGGAGACGGTATTATTGTCTCATTTTTCGGAACTATAGCACAACAAAAGCCATCAACAGTGTATATATATGTGATATATATCCGGTAAAAAAGTACTCACTTTTTTTCCCATGGGAAAAAAGTAATTTATGAAAACTGACATATTTTAACCTGCCAACAAAAATGAAATGCCAAAGTTTTTTCCAGCCACAGAAAAATAGTATATTAAATAATATGTGTTGTAAGTAGCATATTACGCACGAATGGAAAACATACGTGTAATTCCATGAGTGTGTAATTGCTTTACAACACGCATTACGTAATATACTTTACCTACTGCCATATAGTGCATCAAAAAAGTTAGGACAAACAGTCTGAATTATAATTCTTGACAGTTTATGTCATCCGCTGTTGCCGGCGATTACGCGATGATGACTGGCGGAATAAACGAAAACTGTGTGATGTGCTTACTGTGCGTAAATAGCTACTTACTGAGGCTGTATCTCGTGTTTTCTTGCCTACTTTCAATAGTGGTCGTAGGTAACCTAAAATGTGTTGTAAGAAGCATATTACGCACAAATGGAAAAATTACGCACGAATGGAAAAATTACGCACGTAGCCGCGGAGCGGCGAGAGCGTAATTCCATGAGTGCGTAATTGCTTTACGACACGCATTACGTACTATACTTTATATACTGCCATATTACATCAAAAAAGTGTTTGGACAAACAGTCTGAGTTATAATTCTTGACAGTTATGTCATCCGCTGTTGACGGCGATTACCGAGGAATAAACGAAAACTGTGCGATGTGCTTACCGTGCGTAAAGAGCTACTTACTACTTACGTGTGTTCTTGCCTACTTTCTATAGTGGCCTTAGGTAAAATATTATATGTTCAATGTTGTTTCAACTGGTTATTAGATGACGGAAGTTTGTCCGGAATAATGGCAGCAAATAAATCGCTGTGGCGTGGATTTTGATCTACCATCAAATCGGCATCAGATGGTATAATTCTCATCTCGTTATCAAATCGCGAAATTGTGTGCAAATAACCGCACAGGAAAGTGCAATTTTGCTCAGGATAGTGATTGGCACAGGTGTCGTTCAATCAAACAAAATGTTTTTACATGCCTTTGGAAGATCATAACATTTAGTTATCAAGTGATGGTCGAAAAGTTTTTTTTGTGTTCTGGTTCCCACGAAAAGGGATATCCTGTATGTTCAGAGAACATCGTGAGAACCAAGGGGAATAAGGTAGAAATTGGTGTTCTTCTTAAATTTCTGGAGGTTATATGACTCTGAGAACACCTCCCTTGGCAGATGAACGAGTCTTTGGAAAGAGATGTTCTGCAGGTCTCCAAAGTGAACATGAAGGGGTGCGAAGCCTCAACTCGACGGGTTAATCTCGCGGGGACTGCCAAGGGAGGAACAATTCTTGATATTTCAGAAGAGCATCGCCCATGAAAATATCTATAAAATAGAGCCAGATCGCCAACTTTTCTACGGTCTTCCAGAGAAGTGAGTGAGTTTGTGAGCGAGGTGTCACCCACGAGACGAATTGCCCTTTTGTGGACAGAATCCAACAGTTTCAGGGTATGTTTGGGTGCTTCACTCCAAATATGGGAACAGTATTCCAGGACAGGTCGGATCTGTGCCTTATAGATCATAAGCAGCTGACTGGAAGTGAAATAGCTCCTGGCCCGATATGCAGCCGGCTCTTCAACTAATAGAATTATCATGAAAATTGGGTTACTCTAGTTGTTGCTCTTGGTCTATTGATCTAAAATTTTGTATTTGTTCCAATTAAATCTCATTAGATATCAATTCAAAAGTTAACATAGGACATGTTAACCGTTTTGTTTTGACTGATAATGAGTAGTTTCGCCACAAAAAAAATCCTAAAGTTGAAAAATCTCGATTTTAAACACCCTATATATCTCGTAATCATTCCTGCTAGACCCCAATTGTGACGCATTGATGAAATCTGCTCTTCAGGGGGGAAAAATTCAATAAAATACAGGGTGTTCCATTTTAAATTTCAAAGTTGCTAATACTTTCTGGTATAAGCGGCAACGCTGCATTGCTGAAAATATTTTAGATGGATTGAATAAGAGCAACTACTTAAGTAACCAAATTATTAGTTATTCTGACTGGAAGTCATTTGTTTGATAAATAAATAATAAATAAAAATAAATAATAATAATCATGTTAGTATATTTTTATAGAGATACAGAATCATGCTCTCATCTGATAGTCAGTTTGAATGGTTGTTTGGATGCCCTAGAAATAACACTAAAATGGAGTGATAAAGAACAGGGAAATCTATTTGTAAAAGATGAATGTCCTCTACAGGAATTATTTGGGAAATGTGGACAAGTAAATCAACACTGTTTTTATGGAAGACATTTGGGATATCAGGTAAATAATTCTCCTAACCATACAGATTATATTCATAATGGTTTTTTTTTCCAGTTCTGTGAATCTGTAAAAAATGTACTACAATTCGTCACAATATCTATGACACTATTTTCAGAAGTTTATTATAATGATGGTAAGTGTTTCCATATTCTAATGAGTTGATTGATTGATTATAAGCGATTTCATAAGAGGACTAGTTTTATACTGAGAGTTATACAGATTGTTCATGGAATTGTTAAGAGTAATGAGAAAGAATGGCATTTGGCAACATGGTTAACTCAGGCTGTTTTGAATTCAACTATAACAGTTGAAGTAATCACTATATCACTATATGTATGAAAAATAACGTTTACGTATTGTCTCTAAATTGAAATGAAGTCGTCATTTGGTCGTCAATGTCATCATAATGTAATAATCAATAATAATACATTTTGTTTCGGTTTGTACGCGTAATTTTTTCGTTGTTTGTTTATATCTGAACATTTATTCCTGTTAAAATGACTCCTTGATACAGAACTCCAGAATTTGATAATTTTGACTTTGACTCATGCATATTTCGAGTATAGTTTGGTTAACGTACGTTGATATTTAAGGTATAAGTGAAAATACATGAGATAAGGTACACCCGTAAGCCCACTATCAACGCAAACGTGGAGAATTGGTGTGTAATGCATAATTTAAAACTTAAGTTTCATATTATGTACCCGTTTATACAACTCACAGTGCACAACTCCCAACTCGTAATTTAATGCATAATACACAATTCACAAAGTTAACCAACTTTTATCTTTCATGTATTATGCACTATGCAAATAGGCTTTTTCATCTAGATATATTTTCAAGGCGCATGCGCTCGTTTTTAGATCCAAAAATTTATTGGGTAATGCGAAGGTGAAGTCTCATTGGATATAGTTCCAACACAAAATGCTGATTGGCCATTTCGAATATGGCGGGTATTATTGACGTTCTGTCAAATGTCAACAGGGTCAACCACCATGGGCATTCGTCATTGAGAAACAACAATAACAACATAGCAGTTTTAATCTTCTCCTGAAGATGCTAACATAGTTAGCGAAACACGTGTCGAGGCGTTAAAAAATCGTTTTGGTTAGTGGTAAAACAGTGTAGTGTATTATCGTGCCAAAGGTTCCAGTCTTCGATATAACAACATAGTATTTTTGTTTCTATATTCCTGGTGTGTGTTAATTGTATTATAATAATTTAATTCCAAAAAACGTTACTAATTCGTAACTGAGGAGTGTGGTACTGTGGTTGTTAGTGTTTCGGTGAAAATGGCCGCCACTGTCGTTGGATGCCAGATGTAAACAGAGATAGTCATTTGTCATCTAAATGAAAAGGCCTATTACGCTTGTGCGCAATGGTCTGTCAAAACTTTCAATGGGCCCCTTTACAGTGAAGAGTGGGAGTAACTTTTATCACTTGCAATAGTTGCAATTTGCAATTAATCTCTTTTTATTGAAAAGGGACATTCTCAGATATATTTATGAACACAAAAAATGGATATACCGGGTGTCCCGTTTTAATCTTTATTTGGAAATTTCTCGAAATGTATGCATCTGACAAAAAAAATTGCCGAATAAAAGTTGTATGGTTTGGAATGAGATCATGCGCTGGTTGTATACGCCAGTCGTCAGGCCGAAAATCCATTACGGATCACTGTGTGGTGGCCAGGAGTGGAGCCTAGGACGCTAGCTCAAAAGCTAGGCAAGATTAAAGGATGGCCTGTTTAGCAATAACGGGAGCGATGTGGACGACGCTAAGCGTGGCATTAGAGGTACTATTAGGGTTACCGCCACTGCCGATCTGGATTCAGAAGGAAGCAATGGCAGTCCACCTGAGGATGCGGGAATCAAGATGCTGGGTGAACGTAGGATGGAACAGGAGGTCCCTATCTCCACTCTCGGAGTAAGATAAGCACAAGACAGGTAGCGATGGAATAAGAGGTTCTCCCTCACAATTCCGAGCAGAGAACAGTGGGAACGGAAAGCTGTGAATTTTTAGCCAGGGAGCTTACTTAGTATGTTACACAGACGGTTCCTCCCAGAACGACAAACAATCCTCTGGCGCAGGAATCTACCTAGAAGGAGGTGGTTTCAAAGAAAGTTACGCTCTTGGAAAATATTCTACAGTTGTGGAAACACTCTACCAGATCTCGTTCGTCTATAGAACGGTGAAGCTTTTTTTCAATTCTTTGCCAATGGAAGTATTCTCAAGAACTTATAACCTCCGAAAGTTTAAAAAAAAATCCAACACCTACCTCCTCTCCCTGTCCTCCCTAGGTACGCGCGATGTTCCACGAGCATTATTGGAATCTCCTTTCGTGCGCTCCAAGAGATAAAAAAACGTCTTCAAGACCTCATGACCCACCGTTGGAATTTTTCCGTTTCCCAATGGGACACTATGTACAGGGTGATTGACTATGGATTTCACGACTTCAACAGCTGATAACTTGAAAACGAAAAAAGATATTCGAAATTTGGAAAAAGGTACTTGAATGAGATGTCGTTTCCTTTTAGAAAATGTGTTCTCCGCTTGATTTTATCATTTGATATACAGGGTTTGTGATTTTTTTTTCAAATGGAACCCCCTGTATATTATCGCATATTCCGAAATAGCTATCTTTCCTGATATTGAAAATATATAATTTTCATATATTCTATCGAGGGCTTGACGAAATATCAGCAAAATTAAATATTAATATTTGGTCCAAGTTAGCTATGGTTGAAATAGAATGAGATGATGAATAAGTGAATTGACATTTGGTCAACATTCCAGGGACATGAGTGCGCAAAATTTCGACAATTTTTTCACGATACCATATCCACTGGAACAGAGAAGAGATATTTTGGAGTGTTATTTTTCAGTTAATAAAAATCTTGCTGAAACACTACGTAAGTATATGAGTTATCCAGGCAGGAGATTACGAAGTAAGAATTATGTAAAGTATTTGGCTGCTAAATTTGACAGAACTTCCAGTTTGTCGAATATCAAGAGAATAGTGAGAAGGCAAGACAACGAAGACGAGGAACTTCTTGTAATCCAGTATTTTATTGAGGATCCTTCACGGTCAATAAGAAATGCAGTGAGAGAGTTTGGTTTCAGCTATTATTTTGTTCAACATACCTTAAAGAAATATAAATATAGGGATTTCAGAATTAGACCATGCCACAAACTCGATTATGACGATAATGAGAAACGTATTGAATTTTGTCTTGTCATATCTGAATGATTAAATATGAGACAAAGCAATTTTGACGATATCATTTGGACAGACGAGGCTTGTTTCACTACCAGTGGTATGTTCAATAGACGGAACTCGCATCATTGGGCATCCGAAAACCCGCATGCTTTTCAAGCAATACAGAAACAAGGTCGGTCGTCTATTCTTGTTTGGTGTGGCATTCATAATGGAAAAATATTGGGACCAATCTTCATAGATGAGAATTTGGATCAGAGAAGATACCTGAGCCTACTTCAAAATGAAGTTCAAGATTTCATAGACTACACTAGAAATTTATTTATTTATTTATTTATTTATTTATTTATTTATTTATTTATTTATTTATTTATTTATTTATTTATTTATTTATTTATTTATTTATTTATTTATTTATTTATTTATTTATTTATCTATTTATTTATTTATTTATTTATTTATTTATTTATTTATTTATTGATTTATTTATTTATTTATTTATTTATTTATTTATTTTATTTATTTCAGAAACAGACAGGCAGACAATGCGTAATTATGTGTTTTTTACAAATCATCATAATGGCAATTAATAAAGTTTATACATAATGCATCTACAACAATTTAACTATATCATATTATATAATAATATGGGAGTAACTACCAATTTCGCACCAAGACAGTTACAACGAATTAAATGGACAGACATCACAAAAGTCATCAGGTTAAAATATCGGTGATAGGTGATGAGTGCGTACTCAAAATATCTAGAAGGATAATCTGGCAACAAGACGGTGCACCTTGCCATTCCACAAACCTCATTATTCAATATTTGAATTCAAATTATAATGAGTGGATAGGAGGCGCGGCACGATTTCCTGGCCACCAAGAAGCCCAGATCTTACACCACTCGACTTCTTTCTGTGGGGAACATTAAAAGACAGAGTTTATAGGCAAAGAGCCAATAATTCAGATGAAATACGCGATAAAATAATAGTAGAGATTGCGGATCTAATTGCAAACCCGGAGCTTTTTGATAAATTGAAGACATCATTCATCAAACGCCTGAATTGTTGTCGTGAAAATAAAATAAAATAATGGAAGTGTTTTTGAACATTTGATTTGATCGAATTCCAGAATTATTTTTGTTATTGTTATAGTCATCAACCATAGGCACTGTGAAATGGGTATACTTACCCGTGTTTCAGTAGCTGGTTGATGTTCCGGCCAACCCAACCCAACCCAATTTCCTTTTCCTTCCACGCCAACCTCCCTTCTTCATACAGAATACGCGATGATGAGTTCTCCTCAAGTAAAATTATCCGGAAGTAAAATACCTCTCCATTCGGATTTCCGGGCGAGAGGTGCTAGAGGGGTTTCACCATCGGCTCAAAAAGTCCTCAAGATAGACCTATGCAACATCCGAGGTCTAAGTAAGAACATCAACGATGTCCATCGACACCTTCAAATTGAATAGCCAGACATATTAGCTGTCACTGAGACACAGGTCAATTCATCCACCAATACGACCTATCTGCTCTGTCCTGGGTACGAACTCCACACACGTTTCAGATTCAAGGGAGGTCTCTGCCTCTACTCTAAAACGAATCTCTCATGTCAACGAGAAAAAACTTTGAAACCAAATAAGTTTGATGTCATGTGGTTCAAACTCGATAGCCAGAAACAGACCAAATACCTTTGTTGTCTCTACTTATCACCAAATGATCCATCCTATGAAGAGCTCTTCGAATTCTTGTCTCTGAAGCTTGACCAAATTCAACAGAACCATCCAGCAGCAGAAATCATCATCATGGGCGATTTCAATGTACACAACACTGCTTGGCTCGTACACTCTAACAGAACGGATGAAGCTGGGCGACAAGCCGAAGCTTTCGCCATCACTCACGGCTTAGAGCAGCTTATCAAAGAACCCACACGAATTCCCGATGCCAATAACCATTCAGCTAACATACTTGACTTATTCCTCACTAATAATTCAGCACCCTACACCATAAACGTACGAGCTCCACTTGGCAATTCAGACCACACACTCATCTCCACAACCTGCCCATTTTTCATTCCATCAACTGCTCCGGCACCCTCACGTCTTATATGGCATTACAATTCAGGAGATTGGGACGGTCTCCGCATGTTTTTCTCCGAGTTTCCTTGGCATAGAGTATGCTTTGACTCTGAGGACCCTTCACAGTGTGCTGCGGAAATATCCGAGATCATCATGCTCGGAATGGGCACATACATACCTCATTTTTCGAAAAGATCATCATCTTCGAAACCCTGGTTCAACAAAAACTGTTCTAGAACTGTTGCCTTGAAACAAACAGCCTACCATCGCTTGCGCAAAAACCCTAACCTCGCGACTAGAGCAGAATACGTTGATGCCAGGAATAACTGCAGCCAAACAATAGATGCTTCGAAAGAAACATACAATGCCAAGATAAGATCGAAACTCATAGATTGCCCCAATGGCTCCCGTTCGTTTTGGTCCCTTGCTAAAGCGGTCGGAAGAAATTTCACTAATAGTTCATTTCCACCACTGTCCAAATCCGACGGCACATTAGCAACAACATCGCAGGAGAAAGCGAATATTTTTGCAGAGATTTTCGCAGCAAACTCTACTTTAGATTCCCAAGGAAAACTGCCGCCAGACATTCCACCCGTTGAGAGTCGAATGCCCGAAATCGTCTTATGTCAACGCACTATCAGACGAATTTTGCTTGGTCTCAAAACGAATAAGGCTAACGGTCCTGATGGAATTCCACCCATTATCCTCAAAAAATGTGCACCAGAATTAACACCGATTCTCTGCAAGTTGTTTACCATCTCGTACAGGTCGGGTATTTTTCCATCATGCTGGAAGACAGTTAGAGTCCAACCAATCCCCAAAAAAGGGAACAAGAACCTGCCCAACAACTACAGGCCCATTGCCCTGTTATCAGTAATCTCCAAAGTGATGGAGAAAGCCATCAATATTGAGCTTATCAAATATCTGGAGAGCTCAGGAATCATCAATGATAGACAATACGGCTTTCGCCACCGAAGATCTACTGGAGATCTACTTGCCTACGTCACCCATTTATGGCAATCTTCAATAGAAAAACACGGGGAATCTCTAGCTGTCGCGTTGGACATATCGAAAGCATTCGACCGTGTTTGGCACGAAGGACAGCTATGCCATCTCTTATCGAGTTTTCTTTCAGGCAGATCGCTTCACGTGGTGGTGGACGGTGTATCGTCCGATACCATTGGCATCAATTCCGGCGATCCACAAGGATCAAATTTGGCACCAACATTATTCCTGCTTCATATCAATGATCTGTTGGGAGTAACAACTTGCCCCATCCACAGCTTTGCAGATGATAGTACCCTCCATACTGCGTTCTCTTCCAGAATTCCCATTTCTTCCCAGGAAACTAAGAACTCACGGCGCAGGCAGGTCAATGCTGTCAATGAAGATCTTGCTGAAATCACAGCCTGGGGAACGAACAACCAAGTTGAATTCAACGCCACCAAAACTCAAGCCTGCATTTTCTCTAGAAAGGCGGAACTCAGTATGCCCGATATTGTAATGTCTGGCTCCACCATCCCCACCAAGCCCACCATATCTATGCTCGGTATTTCCATCAGCAACACTCTTTCATGGGATGATCATGTCAGATCCATCGCGAAAGCTGCTTCACAAAAACTCGGATTCTTGTTCCGTGCGAAAAGCTACTTTACACCTCAACAGCTTCTCATGACCTACAAAGCACATATACGGCACGATTTAGAATACTGTTCCCACATAATGATGGGGTTCAGCACCCAAACATACACCGATGCTCTTAGATTCCATCCAGAGAAGAGCCATTCGCCTGATGGGTGACGCCACACTCACTCACTCTTTGACATCATTGGAACACCGTATAAAGGTCGGCGACCTTCCACTTTTCTATCGATACTTCCACGGGAAATGTTCTTCGGAAATCTCTGCAATCATCCCTTCACTAGCAATACCAATCAGGCGAACTAGACAAGCCCATTCAGCACATCCTTTTGTCGTCAACCTCGAAAGATGTCGAACAGCACTTTATCAAGACTCCTTCATCCATAGAACGGCTAGGCTCTGGAATTCATTGCCTGTGGAAGTATTCCCAACAACATATAATCTCCAAAAATTCAAAAAAAATTCCAATACCTACCTCCTGTCCCTATCCTCGCTAGGAACGCACGATGTTCTTTGAACATTATAGGGATTCCCTTTCGTGCTCTCCAATCGATAAAAAAAAAGTATGATTGTTAATAAATAAAATGTTGGATGCGTATTTATCCTATTTGCTCTCGAGAGATGGAATATTACAGGGAAGTGGGATTCAAATATTAATTGAGGTATATCAGGAGGCCAGGTACCCGCGTGCCGCGTGGTAGAAGCGTTAGTATTCTATTCACGTTGGTATGCCATTTCGTCAAGCCCTCGATAGAATATATGGAAAGTATATATTTTCGAAATCAGGAAAGAGAGCTCTTTCCAAATAAACCCTGTATATGAAATGATAAAATCAAGCAGAGAACACATTTTCTAGAAGGAAATGACATCTCATTCAAGTACCTTTTTCCAAATTTCAAATATCTTTTTTCGTTTTCGAGATATCAGCTGTTGAAGTCGAGAAATCCATAGTCAATCACCCGTACCTGTTAAAAAGACAAATCGAATAATTGGCCCTAAAAGGTCACTGCACATAAAATTTCACTATTAGGACATTTTGGTGCAATTCATCTGATTTGTCCTTGCTACAGGTATAATGAAATGATATCAATATTTTTGTTTGTAGAGATGAGGAGAAAACATCATAAAAATCAAGATAAAATTTGTAATGTGTCTTTGAACTATTAAAATAATATTATATTCCACTATTTTTTCGCTTCAATAATGAATTCAGAAAAAATAAACTGAACTGAATTATTAATGGGGAAAGAAAAAGCATACTTGAAAACCTTGATTAGTACACCAATAATGAATACAGTGAGATGACGCCATGCTATTAGCGGACCAGGGTACAAAGTAGATACAATTCCCCGACCAGACTCGGTCTCCATAGTTTGCAAAAAATACTCATCATATAAGAGAAATGACATAATGAAAGCGGGACACCCCAATAAAAGTTGTATTAATTCACCGATTTAGACGAACTTTGTTTTGAATTGTGGAGCTTGAAGAACTGTACTTTATGGCGAAACATTTTTTTTTGCAAAAACCAAGGCCTAGTGAGTATATTTTCAGGGATGAAATTCAAGAAATCATGTTTGCGATACTTTCACGAAAACTAAATTTCATAAAAAATTATTCGGTATCAATTATTTTGTGGCCAAATCAAAATTCGCATTATGGTATAAGAGAATTATAGAAATCGGTGGATTGGTCGGGAAAGTCGTCATGCAATGGCCACCAAGATCCCCGGACCTGGCACCATTAAAGTCTTTGGCGACGTCACGTAGCTTCTCGCATTTTCTATTCCTCAAACTCTTTCATTTTATATTCAATATACCCATGTCAAAGGGGTTCCGAATGACTTCTTCACGTCAGGTAGCCTATAATATTCTACTTGTGAAGAAAAAGGTAAGCCTCTATCTTAGGGCGTCGCCATATTGGGTTGAGAATGATATTAGGTACTCAAAGACATCCTGTATCAAAGGGGATTGACTATAGAAGAAACATCGAAAAACCATTCTTTTTTACATGCAGGATCATCTTTAGTGTCAAAAGCGAAGAGCTCATTCATGTCAACTACAAAATTCCTCACCGATCCCGAAGAACGTGCCAAGCGAATTGTGAACATCTCTCAAAATGCGGAAGTTGATTTCTGCAAGGCCTTCTGGTTCCTGGCAGAAACTGAGCTGCTGAATCAACTTCCCTCCATTGTTTCTTCCAGTGTGGCCATCTCGAAAATTATCCACCTGCCTCCCGAACCTTTGACGATAACCACAATGGATGGTAGAGAAATTGATATTCCTGTGCCTTCTTCTTTCTTAGGTAAGGATTGAAGGCGCATGTGTGATGTGTGATAAACACTTTGATTTTTATGGAAACAGTTTTTGAAAATTTAACTAGTTGAATTGATTTTTATCCAAATGAAAATAGAAAAATACTTCGTGGATGAAATTAATTAAAAAAATATAATATTTCAGAAAATGATAATAATAATAATAATAATAATAGGGGCTTTATTTTTAATATCCTCGGCGAAGTCCAGCAAAGCTGTTCTACTCAACCGAGTACCATATTACAACATCTGAATTAAATAACTACCTACATAGTAGCTTAACTATAAAACTAATTTATCTACTAAATATAAGTATTTATGACATTATTTTCTATTCTAAAATGAAGTTTATTTAGCGAAAGAAAAATAATTTAGTTGACTTTTTAGAGTGAAACATTCTTGAACTCTTGTGGGAGAGAATTATATGTTTCAAGTTCATTATAGGAGGAGCATCTCTCATATAAAGCTGTTCTATGCCTAGAACACCTGTATTCTAGTAAAACGATTACGCATTTCCGAAGTGAATGTCAATGGATGATGAATTTAAATATGATTTTCATCTTTCAATACTTTGTGAACCAAGCAGGCAATATGCAATTTACGCCTATTGAACATATTGAGCCATCCCAATTGTATAAGTTTATGAGAAATGTGGTCTCTGGTTCTGAGTGAGTTAATGAATCAGGAATTCTGATTTTTTTGATTTCTCGCTGAAGAAACTGCATCCAAGCATGGACCATATATCAAATCAGCATAATCAGTATGACTCAGTACTGGTGATTCACATTGTTGCTTTTTTTTAAGGCCTGTGCTTCGAACTTCAGCTTACTATCATTATGAATTCCTAGACTTTTCACTACATCACAGGGCTCTACTCTAACCGTGGCAATTTCAATTTTCAAATCATATTTCACCTCTACTGATACATTACCAGAATATACAGCTTGGGTTAATCTTCAGTCCATGCTTATTAGAGTACTCAACTATTATTTCACAAGTTTGATCTATATCTAAACATGCAGTATTCAACTCATCAGTAAAAAAACTTTTATATACTTCGGTATCTTCAGATACATGGTATATATTAAACATAGAAGAGGTCCGAGTATTGAGCCCTGCGGTACACCTTCATCAACTAGTCTAGAGCTAGACTGTGCATTGTCAATTAACACATATTGGCTTCTATGAGAAAGATAACTCCCTAATAGTTTGGTTACCCTATCATAAAATCCATAATAGTTAATTCTAGCCAAAAGGCGTTTCCTGCTTGAAGTGTCAAAATATGATAAAAAATTGTAACTTTGTGGGAAAAATAATTTTTATGACACCATTTCCGCCATTTTGAAAATGGATGAAAAATGTTTGAATACGAAAAAATATACTTTACACACAGCTATTCAAAAAACCCCTAGCAAATTTGCATTTGCAGTTTTTCTTTTCCTGTTACAAGCTTAGGGCGGAAAGTTTGAATCACCCTGTACTTTATATTTTGATGAAACTTCATCTTTGAGTATTTGAGACATGAGCAAAATAGCGCTAGACTTTGTTTTCAAAATAACATAATGGGAAATATAGATTCCTGATATTTGTGTTGTAATTTTGATCACAGGGGCCATCAAATGATAAATCAGAATTGAAATTAGATGCTCTTCCGTATTTTTAAGTGAAATTGTGAAGATGTCCACTGCAACATATATTTTAGGTAGGAAACATATTGAGCTCCATCTAATCAGCCACAAACTACGAGCAGGTATGTTGGGAACAAAAAACAGCAGCCGATTGGAGCCACCATCTAAAGGTCTGATGATCCATTGTCATGGAGGAGGTTTTGTAGCCCAATCATCCAAATCCCACGTTGGTTACTTGAGAGAATGGGCAAAGCATTTAGACATTCCGATTTTATGTATCAACTATAGCTTGGCCCCGGAAGCTCCTTATCCTAGAGCCATAGAGGAGATTTTATATGCCTATTGTTGGGCGAGGAAGAACCATAATCTGTTAGGCAGCACAGGTAAGTTGAGGAGAAAGTATGTAAAAAATCGTTCATAGTACTGGGATTGATATTTCACTATCAGAAACCTGAAAGAAAAATTTCAGATCAATAATCAGTGACGCCTTGGAACAAACATATTGATGAAATATATTTCTTTGGACGTTTTGGAAACGTTTTCAACATGAATTTTGCTGCTGCTTTTGCCAATTGACACTTCTCAGTGACACTATAGGCTTTTCACCTCTAGTTTTCAAAAATTAGAGAGAGAAAATGGGTGTTTCCTTCGTGAAGAGAAATAAATAATATTTTCCATTGATTGAAAGTTTTTAAATTTTTCGAAGCTAACTTTACTTGATACGTATTCAAAATTATTGAAAATGAGCAATGGTCCGAATCCCAATCTTGAGTTGGTTGAACAGCCAGAAAAGATCACCCATGATACAATAAAAACCCAATATGAATAAACGAAGATATACGAAAAATAAGCGGTTGCCGGTTAAAGCAAATGGTAACTGCCGAAATTGCGTATTTCAGCAGCGACTTGATTTACAAGTGATCAAATACTTATCTTCCCAATAGGTCCAACGATATCCAGCCAATTAGTGGCAAGTGAGATTGTAATGCACATGTATGTGTATATCATCTTGAATTTGAAATTAAATAAATAGATTGTTCGATTTGGGAAATGATTATATTTACTACTTCACATTACTTGCCTTTGAAATTTCCAAGGAGTGGTGAGTTAATGATTGCATTATCGCTGTACCTATTTCTGCAAATTGTATGCTCTGAATGAATGTGATTTAGTGGATATTTTTAAAGAAGCTCGTCCAGCGATCCACCTAGTGATAACAGAAGGATAGTGCAAAATAAACAATAAACATCCATTATCGTCTTTATAAATGTCATACATAACAAAGTTGTTCATTGAATACTGAAAATTATTAAAGTCCTTTTATTTTTCACGATAACTCCTTTATTTGTCAAAAATCTATAAACAAATCCAGTGATAAAATCAGAAGTCCCTCAGGACTCAATTTAAATTGCAACAAATAGAGTTTTATCAAATATCTCACATGGTCCAATCATCAGGGAGGGGGTTTTGCCTCGCAAAACGGAGAGTAGTCATGATTATTATGTTGTTATGTTCTTGTTAGAGTTCGGAAATAAACAATTTCTTTTTTTTCGAAAAATATTATGAAATAACAGATAATTTCAATCAAAGATATTTCCGTTAGTATTTTTTAGAATGATTAAAAATAGTTCAATCAAAATATCGAATTATGATTTCATTTTCGATTTCAGGTGAGAACATTGTGGGTGCAGGAGACTCAGCTGGTGCAAACCTTATATCGAGTACTACTTTGAAATGCATATATTTGAATATACCCACTGTGAAGGGTCTCTTCATCGCATATGCCCCCATTATGGTTCATTATATACCTACTCCTGCTAGGTTACTCTGCATGATGGATCCTCTGATTCCTTTCGGATTCCTGATGAGATGTCTCAAAGGTAGTTAATTTATAGATGTACATAAATTCAAATGTATTCACATCGTATCAAAAGGAGTTTAGAAATCTCTCGATATCGCCTACTTTGTGAAAATGGCGGAAAATAGGAGAATCTTGCTAAATTTCCAAAGTTTCAAACCAAATTACTGGCATTATGACAGATTCATTCGACTTTACTTTATCATTATCACAATCTTTGTGCGTTTTATTTTCGACTTTCAATGGTGAACTCATTAACAACTCAAGTCCTAACTCATGAATAACTTGTAATGATGATTCCTTTACTCACTTTTGAAACAGGAACTAAAATGGATTTTCGGATTTATATACACAGTGTCCCAGCTAAAAGGTCCCCCTTGTGAAATTCAACCGCTTCATCGAATGACTTTGGATATGTGTAAACATTTCCTGGATCTTTTGACAACGTCATTACTTCATTCTTGGATATCTATACCTTTTCAACTTCAATTTCGGAATTGGTAAGTTATATTTCGGAAAAAGTAATCTCGATTTCAGAATTGGTTAGTTCGATTTCAGAAATGGTAAACTCAATTTCAGAATCGGTGAGATGAATTTCAGAGAAAGTCCATTCAATTTCAGAAATGGTAGTATTTCAGAATTGGTAGGTTCAATTATTTCAGAAAATAAATCCTTATATTTGTTTGAAATGTTTCCAATTGCATGTGAGATTAACAAACCATATTTACAATATTCAACTTTTCAAAAACAATTCAATAACATAATTATAATCTCAATTTGATCCACAGTTGTCTTCCATCCGAATCGCAGAAAGATAGTAGCGTAGCATATGATTATAAGAATGCAAACACATTTGAGGTGTTATCATTTTCATTGAATGATCTGCACATTCTTCAAGACATCGCAGTCTGAATTCTATCTGGTTGAGCAATCTGTTCGGATCCCCAGCTATGACCCTTTGGCGATGATCTTGCAAAAAGCTCTTCACTTCTGACTTGAAGTCACTCCATATATGTTGAATCGGATTAAACATAAGGTGCCAATTTGTAAAATATAACATCTTGAAATTCTTCCTCCATGCATATCTCTTCTATTCTTGAATGTGCAGGTGCATTATCCAGAACTACCACTATGGTATCTGCAGGATGACCATTTCAAACGCACACTCTCAAACACCGTTCCATCCACTTTGAACAATCCTCTCTTTTGCAATTGAAAACATTTCAAACATATATAGGGATTCATCTTCTGAAATTGAACCTACCAATTCTGAAATACTACCATTTCTGAAATTGAATGGACTTTTTCTGAAATTCATCTCACCGATTCTGAAATTGAGTTCACCATTTCTGAAATCGAAATAACCAATTCTGAAATCGAGATTACTTTTTCCGAAATATAACTCACCGATTCCGAAATTGAAGTTGAAAAGGTATACAGTTCTATTTCATCCGCTGCAGTTATTCTTAACAGTTCTTTGACCATATCTTCGTACTCATTTGGAAAAATCCAATTGTAAAAATTGTAAAATTGTAAATTGTAAAATTGTTCTATCCGTCATTCGGTTGCCCCCTTACGAGCAACCCTCAGAAGTCTTCGAGAGTCTTGTGCGAGCAAGGAATGACGGGGGCCGTACCTTTTAACGTGTGATCCTAATCACTTTCTTGGTTCATCAGAAAAATTTCTGCAGTCGATGGGAATCGAACCCACGATCGGCAAGCGAATGCGGATTAGAATATAGACACTCTGTCCACACGGCTATCTGGCCCGTTAATCAAAGCCAATATTGTGAATTCGTAATAAAGAGCTCTACTTAAGTATGAAATAATATACTGAGTGGCCCTATTCAAATGAGAAAGTTTAAGTGAACTTTTGGTGCGCCCCTGTATACATTTGATATATTCAATAGCATATTTCGAGTAATGATTATCAAATATACTGGATGACCAAACTTCAAGACAGTCGACCGCGAAGTTGATTTTTTACAGGGGGGGGGGCATTTTAGCTGGGACATGGTGTATAATCCGCACTCATTGCAGCAACGGCTGCTCAATAAACCACTAATGTTCTTAATCATCATCCAATCAAACATTACAAAAAAATTTAACCAATACTACTGAATCTGATTTATAATATTTCAATTGAAATTTGAACAAAATTATGTATAATACGAAAACGTGACACTTGTGTCAAGATGTCATCGGATCATATTTTTCCTTTTTTTGCCACAAAAGTTGCAAGAAGCTGAATCTTTTGAAGAATTCCTATATCCGGGTCCTTGTAAGTCACCTTGTATCCCGAAAAAAGGTAAACACATCCATGAAAGTCTAGATTAGCACGCCAATGAACACCGCATCTTAACGACCAAACTCGGCCTCCACAGTTTTTCTGCAAAAAATACTTAAAAAATTTCCCAAGTCCCAACATATTACGTGAAGGGAATGCTTCAGAAGATTTAGGCTCTCTTAAAAGTTGGCTGAACTTCATAAGATTCGAAACGCATTTCGCCATCTATAATCGAATATGACAACCCCACGCTTTGATTTCACATTCAATTTTTCATATCGAGAGTTAGTCTAACGAAACCACAGACGAAACAATTGAAGAGTGGGCTCACCATAGCAATTATAACCATCTCACTCAATTGCATAATAGTCAGTTGAAAAAACACATCACCGCAAGCCGTCGGTCCCTTTGAAAATTCAAAGAGTGCGGCAGCGCGACCCGACATTCGTTTGATGATCTGTTCAACTGACTTTGCAGAAACTATAATACTTATGATTTGAAATTAATATTCGTAAGAAAAATTTGGGGTTATGGATAGTTCTGAAAAAAAATGCAATTGGATAAATAATAATGTTTTTTTCCGTCGACCTCGTATTAACGACTAAGTTTAATGTATATGAAATTGTTCATTAATGACCCCTATTAATGGACGATTTGTCTATTAATGCACGATTGTTTTATAGGCAACCAAACATACACCGCGTGCATTCATTGTTTATGCTATAACTAGCGGAATCTGCATCTAAATCGAAAATATGGATTTCATCAACGATTTTCCGTTAACGGGTTCGCCTTTCCAAGTTTCTGACACGATTTTAATCCCTGTTTTCTAACACAAAGAATCCATTTCCTATGTTGATCATTTCGACAAATGTCAAATGACACTAATGTCAGTAACAAGGCTACTGGGTGATTCTTAGTAGTTTCCGGATGAATGATGACTTCGCGAACCAAGTTTTCTTCATTGCAGGAGAAATGAGAAATATAGTCGACGGAAAAATTTTGTAACCAACTTGTATATTAAAAGGCGATTAATGATCTCGAACATTAACGCACTCGCACCTAACCTAACCTAACCAACTTGTATATTAAAAGGCGATTAATGATCTCGAACATTAACTCACTCGCTTCGCTCGCATGTTAAAATATCTTGATCATTAATCGCCCTCATTAATACACTAGTTGGCTAAATAACTATTATTCAACTATTTCCGAAAACCAACAATTTTCCCAACTTTTTCGTTTTTTTCTGTTTTTAGCTTATGCTTGTCCGGACGAAAAATTAATACAACAATGTAATGAAAACGGACAGAATTCTGATACTGAGAGTTTTGAGGAAATAACTGAATCAGATCTCTTGGAACTACAAGCTCACAAATCACCCGTTTCTGATACCTCTGATACTCTCACCTATGGTTCTTTGACCTCAAATGACGAAGGAGGTACTACAAAACCATCGAATAATTCTGATAAAGAAGCTTCTGATTTTTTGGAAAAATATATCTTGGGTTTGTATTCTTTGTTTGTTATTTATCATGTATGGAATATCTATCCAGAAAATAGATTGATTGACGTTTCATGTTAATACGTTTTTCTACAACTGGTTAACAAGATAGGCCTACACGCCGTCAAATATCAACACAAAATTGATCAAAAAATTAACCTTTTCTATAATGAAAAAACTCTATAATAACTGTAAAACATTTTTTCGACTTTTTGTATAATTATACTTACAGTAGGAGAGTCGGCTTCATATATCGACCGATCTGATAACAAAATGACATATTATGCCACAATTGCATTCAAAAACAATCTTTCGACTAAGGCGAAATATTCTTGGAAATATTGTCGCTCTGCCACCAACTTTAATCAGTTTGAATCGCGTCACGTTTGGATATTCGCGAAAGGGGATTTATCCCCTTTTATTGGTATTTTGTTTCAACTAGTTTACACGTGACGGAATTACAGTAGCAAAAAAATTGTGTCCACGATTTCTCTCAACTTGAGGGGTGGCACAGGTAGGGTATCCTGAGTAAAATGATTTAAAAGTTGCACTTTCCTGTGCGGAAATTTGCACTCGATTTCGCCATTTGATAACGAGTTAAGAATTATGCCTGTTTCGTATTCTTGATTCTGAATTCAATTTTGAATATTCGCGGCAAAATCAGCACACTTGAAAACATGCTTCCCTCCGTTTATTGTTGTTATTGTTCACGTGAACCAATAGAATAGAATGCCGCACAATTCGCGCGCCTATTCTTAGAACAATAATTCGTGTAAAAGAATTCTAAAAGAGTCTGCATTGAGTGATGTAGGTGAACAGAAGCGATCTATCGTGTGTGGCGATAAACCTTCTAATAAACTTTCCAGTAATTTGGAAATGTGGTGCATAGTCAGTAGTACTATTTTCTAATGTGTTTGGACTAATTGTGAGTCGGAAACAAATATTGGAAGCTGTGAACTGGGCCCAGTCGGAAGAATCAGAAACAAGACGCCAATTGGCAATGGTTAATGAAGCTAACTATTTCATGTTTGCTGATTCGAAGTTTAGGTTCAAATTTGTGTATAAAAGTGTCAAATGCGAAACAATGCCATCCAATACCAATTGAATGGTAGATTTCAAAAATCTACCTGTGTCTCCCCTCAGTCTGAGCCAAATCCACGTCACAGCGATTTATTTGCTACTATTATTCCGGACATACTTCCGTCATGTGATAACGACTTGAAACAAGAAGCAAAAAGAAGGGGATGATGTCCTTTGCGAATATTCAAACTTACCGCGATTCAAACTGATCTAAGTTAGTGGCAGAGCGTCAATACTTCCGAGAATATTTCGCCCCCCCCCCTCTAAAGATAATATCCGATGGACCAGTGTAAAACTCAACATGTGTATTAGAATACTTGTAGTGTGAGCACCACATGAGTTTCACACTGGTCCATCGGATATTATCTTTCCACGAGGGCGAAATATTCACGGAAATATTGACTCTCTGTCACACAACTCGTTATCACATGACGAAAGAATGCTCGGAATAATAGTAGCAAATGAATCGCTGTGTCGTGGATTTGGCTAAGACTGAGGGGTAGCACTGGTAGATCTTTGAGATCTACCACTCAATTAATATCGGATTGCATAATTCTTATCTCGTTATCAAATCGTGAAATCGAGTGCATATTTCCGCATAGGAAAGTGCATTTCTTGCAGGATAGTGATTGACACAGGTGCCATTCGATGAACTACAATGATTTTACTTTCCTTTGGGTTATATATCATTTCGTTATCAGATGACGGTAGCAATCTGCAGCCGGCTCTCCTATTGCAAGGATCGACGCTTTATTGCAAATGAGCTCAATTACTTAACATACAAATCTTTGCTCAATAAGTAGTAATTTTTTCTATTTTTCATAAAAGAGGAATCTACAGAATTATTATAGCATAAATATATTCTTCAGCAGATAGGACATGGACATGTTATCATAATAATATTATCATCTCACCTGAAATTGGTATAATTTGAATAAATATAAGATATGTATGTACTATCTGCAACCACACAAATCATTTCCTTGTCTCAAATCGTGAATAATTTCATTGAACAATCATAATTTTGATAGATTGTAACCATTCGAAATATTCAAATAATAAACATTCACTGTACAAGCTGTTGATCTGTCGGATTTCGAAATTAGGGCTTTCTATCTTCGTTCATCATTATATGTATCTTTTCGGTTTGATTGCCTTCGGACATTTCCGTATACAAGGAAAGACAATGCCAGAGGACGAACGGGGAAGCATGAAGACTGCATAGTACCATCCTGCCAGCGATGCTTGGTATAGTGCATGATTTCGAGTGACTTCGGGAATTAAGACGGGTGGCCCTATAAACATTGTGCTAGTTGCTTTATTTCATCTCTCTCTCTGATTTTCCGACAGTCTCATCTGTAAGGTTTATTAATCTGTGATTTGATATTGTGAATATTTTCTTTCAGATTCAGATACAGATACGGATGGCACTAGGATATCTATCTTGAGAAATGAAAGTGAATCATCTGCAAGCACTATCACTGAAAATTCCATTCAGAATAAAGTTACATCATTTGTGTATAGTATGAGAGAACAATTCACAAAATATATGCGTAAGTAGACTTGAATAGATATTGGGTTCTTATATTTGTCCGAAGTTGCTATACATACGTTGATACGTTAATCCTTATATGATACAATACAAATACTTTATTCGTAACTAAAAACTGTTGTACAGATCATGGAAATATGAAATATACAATGAGCTCATCGGACTAGTCAAATTGAAAAAAATGTATTGAAATAAGTAGTACAACAGTTATTCATTAAAATATTTATTGATAGTTGATACAGGTATAAGTGCTGACACAATTCATTGTAGTTCTAAAATTATTCAAATTTCTAAAAATTCGTCCGTACAATAAAATGCATTGCTTGAGAGCAATGTTGTAAGCTTAGGTATCCTTAAGTTTAGTTTTGCTCCCTATGTTACCGAAGAGATTTTGAAATTTGTTGTAATTTTGTAATTTGTTGTAAATTTTTGATGTCGATAGATGTGTGTTTTGACGTGGTTTGATGTTTATTAATCTTGATGTTTTGGGTCATTGGATTGCATTCATTATGCAATGAAACAAACATAGTAACATAATAATTTTCAAATTTTTGAATATAATAACAGACAGGAGACACATTTTATCTAGGTGATCAATCTTTATATTTTGAGCTCAGTGTTTTATAGCTGGAATATTTGTAATTAGTAATGAAACACCCTGTATAGTCCTGATGCAGTACAAGCCCTGTAAGATTTGCAATACAATTTGACGAAAGATATTGTAACCAGTTGACCAGTACTAAATATAACAGCTATATGCGATGTATAATCCATATTCAACTGTACCAATGTTCTCTTCCCTGCAGATTGCTTGCCAAATCCTCATTAGATTTTTCTTTCTGAGTGAGCCTGCTCAAAACGGAAACACTTGCTCTAGCTACGAGGCGGGGAAAAATCAATTCAGGAGGCAAAGGCAGCTCAAAAATGGATCTCAAGGGGGGGGGGGGGGTTAATAGGAATTTTTGTGACGATTTTCAAACTAGCTACCTCCTAAGAATGTTATATTTATTTTGCTCTTGGTTTCATTTTCATTGGGTTTATAGAGCAGCTTCACAGTTTCCAATTGTTCATTGCATGCAATTGATTGCTGCAATTCATATTTCCGGCAGCAATGATATACAGGCTATTTTATATTGAATCGGAATGACCGGCTTGCTATGTCTTTTTGTCAAATGATCAGTGTTTTGCTTCTTATCAAGTTATGAGTTGGTCTTAGGGGCGGCGAGTTTTGTTTTGCCCAATGGGTGCCAAAATGGAGGGGTTAGGGCAAGCCAACAAAAATGCGCCGCAGGCGAAAATTTTTTATGGCTCAAGGTCAAATGCCTTCAAATTTGAAGATAGCTTGATGCAATATTGATTCTGCATTACGTGTGAAACACCCCTACTAGAATATAATGTTTTTTGACTAATCGGGTTTCGGGTCTGTTGTTAATATCAACATTAACAAAGGTGAGAAATGAAGGAATAATTTTTTTTCAAATTTTATTGTAAAACATAAACAACTCAAAAGTTAACACATTATGTGAAAACGTAAAAACATGACTACAAAAATAAAATAATTTTTAATATCTGATGCATTCTGACAAATCTTACAGAATACCTTTTTTTCAGTCTGATTATACAGGATCCAATCATATTTTTCGCTCCGGGATGGAACATATCTCCGTTTCCTACTGCAAAACGTTTTCTGAATTCCTAAAACATATTTCCATGTTTATTCTAATCAAAAATTTTATTTTCACCATATCATACCTGAGCCAGTAGTACTACTACTCGCACTGACATCAGATTGTGCATCATCATCTTTTGGAGAATCAATTCTATTTACAAATTTGTCCATTTTTCACATGTAACAACATAGGTTATTCAGTATTAAATCGCTTTGCAAAGCACATTCAGTCGTTTGCGAGCCCTGGCGGTACACTGCACAGTGCACACTTGCACACTAAAAATAGATACCTACTAATTCCCACCAGTCCCACTGATCATCACTGATTGAGCGAGGAGTCGCTTTGTCCAACCCCTTCCTACACATCGATCGCGAATCGAATGTACGGTACGCATGGTTGTCTTTGTCTACCTACTTGTCCACTTTGTCCAGCAATGTGCAATGTTTACAAGTGCCAAAAGCGCTCGTTTCTTATTCGATTTTTTCATAGGTACATCTTCGTTTCGGCCAATGGGTGCATTGCACCCATACCTATGGTCTACATGGGTGCATTGGCCCCGATGCCCCCATGCACTCGCCGCCCCTGGAGAAGGAACCGTGATAACATCAGTAACCTTAACATTCACCATTTCATCACTAGAATTGCACCACCAATACGAGTTACTGCAATAAACATCTCGATAGAGATAGATCCTGCAAGTAACAAAAAATTGCTCAATTGTTATGGAAAATTGTTAACTGCAGCGGTTTCTATAATTCTTTTTTTTGTGGATTTTATTTTCACATTTTTTTCCTCTGAACAAAATCAAAAAATGCATCTTAGCTCGCCCTTTACCCTAACTCCCTTCGCGCTGAAGGACCGGTCTTGTTAAAGGAGTCCAGCTGATTACTCAATTATCCATTGCATATAGCTGTTATATTTTGTGATTATTTAACTAATATGCCGTTGATTTTATCCCCAACATGTATGAGCTATGTCTGATATGTCTTAAAGTTCTATGACCTCCATAATCTCTCATATGTAAACAACACTTTGTTTATTGCATATTTTTCATAACTTTCCTGTGATTACAGAAGAGCGTACTGCTCCTGAAAAGCTGCTAGATTTAGATATTGATCCAGAAACAGCATTGTCAAGTAAATTTTCATTCGACGTTTCCAAGGATCCGTTATTAAGTCCATTATTTGCTACAGATGAGGATTTGAAAAAGTTCCCACCAACTACAATTCTGGTAAGAAAAATTACGAGTTTTTGATAATGCTAGGGTCCATATTTCAATGAACTAGATTTCTAAGGATGAAGTCTCTTATTGTGCTTCATATCACTAATTTGGAATGATATTGGAAACAGTTATGAAATGAATTGGAAGGGGGTGAAATTGTCATTAAACTAGCTATATTCACCCCAATCAGAATGATATGAATAATGAATGTCTTTTTGTTGGTCTACTCTGTTCAAATTTTAATCAATACTTCTGGAAAACATTTTCAACAAACTATTCGAGGCGTCACAAGTAAATGTCTCTGTCAAATCATATTTGAGTGAGTGAGTTGAGATGGCTGTTGACTCAGGGAGTCGATGTGGGTGAATCTACTACTATTTTTTTCATCTCTTGGAGCGCATGAGAGGTAATCCCTATTATGTTAGAAGATCGTGCTTACCTAGGGCGGATAGGGAAAGAAGGTAGGTATTCGCATATATTAAAACTTTTGGGGATTGTAAGTTCTTGGAAACACTTCCTGTTGCAAAGAATTCCAAAGCTTTGCCGTTCTATAATAGACAAACAAGTTTTGGTAAAGAGTTGTTTGACATATCATATAGGTTTGCTATAATCATAGAACTGCGACTTTTACAAAAAATAACCTAGATATTCGCATTTTCAGTTTTCTTGAATTCTGAAGTAATAATATGTTGATGCAGTTTGAAATCTGAAATAACTTTAGGGTTATAGTAGAATTTTGCTAACCCTTATTTTAAAATCTCAATCTTCTTGTTCAAATCTTTTCCTTCTATTTGTTTCCTGAATCCTTCACTTCTTTTTCCTAGAAAATCTTGAAGTTTTGAATATTTCTGCTCTGCATTTTCGATCATCAACTCTCTAGATAAATTGTGTTTACCCTTATCTAGTTTTGGACCTCTAACCCTAGACTTCTGATGAAGCCTAGAATTGCCCTGACGGTTGAATTTTCCACCTCTGCAGGCGTGAGATAGACCTGTTCTAGGCGATTCAGCCTTTGGCGGACTAATACTTCACATGAGCAAAGTATGTGTGTCAGTGTCAGTCTCCCCTAGATCTTTTTGAGGTGGTACCTCAGAGGGCAGTGTCCTGTTACAAAGCCTGTGTTGAGGTTTAGCTCTGGTTTGCTGAGGCTGAGTAGCTCTTTGGCTAGGTTTTGCGAATGATTGATGAACCTTCTCGCTAGTTGACCTGGAGTTGTTCTCCAGTAGGAAGACTTTGTTGTCCTTTCCCAGTTGGATGAGTGTTTCAAAGGAGTCTCATGTAATCTTTGAGATGAAAATAAATGATTTTAGGGCTTTTAGTGCGGCTTGGCAGTCTGAACAGATATAAATGTTCGCACCCCTTGGACCTTGGTCAAGTTAGGTTTGGGCGCATAGGATGATGGCATGCATTTCAGCTTGGAAGATAGTGGGGGAGTGACCTGAGGCTTCAAATAGCGTACATCTGGGTCTATATACACCCGCGCCTTCCCCTTCTTCCATGTTCGAACCATCGGTGTACTGAACAAGGGACCCTCTGTCCAGCTGAGACTCAGCGGAACCCTACCTAGGTCTAGGGCGACTTTTAATTTAGATCTTTTGTCAGCATTTTTACAGATTGAAACTGCACAAACTTGCATCTCATTATTTTTCCCAATCTCAACACTCCTTTGAAATTGATTTCATGTACTGTCAGTTTCCACTGTCATTTATTTATTTGTGGTTATATCTATCTGTCATTGTTTATCAGAGTGTCCCTCGATGAATATACAAAAACGTCAAAAAGACATCGTTCACTCTATCAAGGAAACGTTCAGAAAACATAACATAACAAGCATACATTGTACTTACATAATCTCATATTTCAGTCTGTTAATATGGATCCCTGTTTGGATGACTGCATTATGTTCGCTAAAAGATTGAGAGGTGCTGGAAACAACGTGAAATTACAAATTCTAAGTGGCCTGCCTCATGGATTCCTGAACTTCTCCCTAGTAAGTAACATTTACATTACAAAATGTCATACCATCAAATCACCATTCTCAGGAGAGAAAAAGTTTTGTTTGATATCTGAAATGTTCTGGTAGCAACAGGGCGTTGAATCGAAAGTAGGCATTTGCATCCTGCTTTCAGAGGGAACAAAGCTGTCTTCTTCTCCCATGGAGGCATACAAATATCACCTCTTTTTCATTATGTAATACCACAAGTGATAATATTGCGCTGGAAATTTTCGGCGATTGTTACGACAGCTTGATGCCTAATAATTTTGCGAATGACATTTATCAAAACTTTCGAGCCATAGGCGAAATTAAAGAAGCAAGCTGGAGTATATCAATCGACGGATATTTCCAGGAAAACTAGCAGCACGAGGTATTAGTAGGACTATTTCATGATTGAATTAGACAATAAATATGATAATGATAAAATCCGTGACGTCAAAACTAAATACTGATAATTATAACTGGCGTTTTGACAAAAGTGTTATTGTCTTCTGTATTGGTGGAGCTAGAGTGCCTCGAACATCTCATTTCACGCCCTTTAAAGAGTGTGGACACACTTGTCATGTTATCAAACAGCTGAAGTTTAAATAATGTTGAATTAATACAAAAATTACAACAACAACTTTTTGCAGCAAATGGGCTGTAGGCGATTCAAAATAAGCGAAACACCCAATGTTTGTTTACATTCAGGTTCCCATGCATTCCAGTGGATTTTGAGCAGTCATTGTAATTTTTTCCGAGTTAGAATTCTTCAGTAGATGAACTGGGTTTTTCTCCTTTACAAACACATTCAACTCCTATATACAGGGTGTCCCGAAATTAGCCTGCCAAACCTACCAGCGGCCTTTACGATCAAAAATAGGAAGAAAAGTTTCAATGAACTTCAGAGACGTGAAATGTCTCCTAAGGAAGCTGCGGCTCCCTGGAAGGAGGCTCCTGAAAATTATATATCTTTAGTATTTCCGAAACTCCATGTGATGAAAAGATGCAATTTGGTACAAGAACTAAACTGTCCAGCATGTTTAGGCGGCTCGGTGGTCAAGAGCGTGAAGGCGCTGAGTTCGTATGGGGACTCCCACCCGAGACATAGGTTCGAATCCTAGTAAGGCCATGGATGTTTGTGTTTGTATGTATACCTAACCCCGCACAAGTTTCGACTTATGGGGCGTTTGGTCCCAGTGCTGGGGCCAACGAGGTATGCAATAGCAAAAAAAAATGCCCAATGCAATGAAAATGAAATCATTTCAAAACTTCACTCACGAGTGTATAATACAGGGTGGGACTACATGAAATATTGGTCAAAATTTTTTGTTTGCATATTTTTTGACAATTTAATCTCGGATTATGAAAATCCACACCTCTTTACAGAAAAAAGGTACTCTTGTTCCGTAACGATAAGATGTATCATTATGGAATAAAAGCGATTTAAAAATATTGTGCCATCTCAGATATTATGCATAATATCGCAATGACTCGTAGTGGAAATGGAAAAAAATACACAAAAATTGAAGTAGTTTTTTTATTTTTCGCGCTTTTATGAGATTGTTTGCTGAAGAGAAAGTAAATGATTCTTTTATAGCCACTATGATTTGAAAATTGGCAGCTTTATGCATAAAATGTGAATGTATCAATATTTTTAAATCGATTTAACTCGACAATGATACATCTGATCACAAGAGCACCTTTTTTTATGAAACGGTGTTGATTTTCATTAAATTGTCGAAAAACATGCACACAAAAAAGTTTGAACAATATTTAATGTAGTCCCAACCTGTATTATACACTCCTGAATGAAACTTTCCGATGAATTTATGTTCAACAAATATCATCTTCAGGAGAGCCCATATTCAGGGAGCCGTAGCTCCCTTAGCAGACATTTCTCGACTCACGTTCATTGGAACTTCTTTTTCTATTTTTGATCGTAGAGGCCGCCGGTGAAGTTTGGTAAGCTAATTTCAGAACACCCTGTATATCTCATATACCTCCTCTTGTGAATTTCAACATCATATTTACTCCACCTCATCAGGTTTTCGGGGGAAGAAATGGATACCTTTGCCCTTGATATACAGGTTGTTTCAAAAAAACCTAACCCCCTTGCTAGGATAGGTAGGCAAAATAAGTTGGGTTTGCTCAGCGAAAAAATTGTCGTAACGGCATCCGTTTTCATGATACAAGGTGTTGAAAAAATTATTTTTTTACACATTTTTCACGATTATTCCGAAACTACTGGCAACATTGTAATGAAATTTTGTATGGATGTTTATTGACATCTGACACATCGCATTAATTTGTTTTTATATCTGACTCTCATAGAGGGCGCTAGTTACACGGTTCGTACCGAGTAGTTTTGAACCTAACTTTTATGAGGTTAGATTTTTCAATCCAAATATGATATGAACTTGAACATCATTCAATTTTACACCAAAAAGGTACTCCTGGTGAAACTCGATACTATGTTCCGTTTTCGGAATATTTCGATTTGAAAATAATGGAGTAGTAATGATGCTGGTATAAAATTTATTTTATTGGGTTCAAATTATTCAGGTTCAAATACAATAAAATTATTCTTGTGCTGAAGTTATTGATGGAACAAAGAATCATAAGTAGAAATGAAATATTGAATCAGTTAGAGTAAGTGTTCAAAATGTCCTACGTTTCGAGGAATACACGATTCTATATTCTTTTTTTGAGAACGTATTATTCTTCTGAACAGTTGAGGATCAGCTGTTAGGTCATTTAAGTGATGTTCAATTATGTCTCACAACTCTTGACGTGAATTTACCTATGTAGCATAGACTTTTTGCTCAAGATACAACAAAACTGTGTAATCCATGTTCTTAGTCAAATCTGTTTCGATATTATTCTTGTCCTGTTTCATTGTTAAATCAATGAGTTTTGCATCAGAAATGTATTGTTGTTTTCGGTTTTCAATAAATAGGTGACAATTTTTCATAATACTCACTCTTATACATAGCTTTATACCAGCAACAGTTACCACTTCATCATTTTAAAATCGAAATATTCCGAGAACGGAACACAGTAACGAGTTTTATCAAGAGTACCTTTTTGGTGTGAAATTGAATGATGTTCAAGTTCACATCAAATTTGGATTGAAAAATCTAACCACAAAAAAGTTATGTTCAAAACTACTCGGTACGAAACGTGTAACTAGCGCCCTCTATGAGAGTCAGATATAAAAACAAATGCATGCGATGTGTCAGATTCCAAGAAACATCCATACAAAATTTCATCACAATGTTGCCAGTAGTTTCAACATAATCGTAAAAAATGTGTAAAAAAAATATTGTTTCAACACCTTGTATCTTGAAAACGGATGGCGTTACGACATTTTATTACTGAGCAAACCCAACTCATTTTGCAATGTTCTACCTACCCTAGCAAGGGGGTTAGGTTTTTTTGAAACACCCTGTATAAATAGCAATATAGCTATCAAGTGCGCGTTCAGCATATAAAACCATGTATTTTTCCACTGGTTTTCACCTCTCAGTCTATAGATGATTCTAATACACTTATTTTCAGTTTTCGAGGGAAGCCTATGAAGGTTCTAGAGTTTGTATCGAAAGAATACAAGAATTACTGGATCTAGAATGATACTACAACGTAAAATATTTATTGGATTATTTATTAGATCTGTAAACAATAGTATTATTCAAATTGTCTTATGCAGATATTTATATATCGCAATTCTGTACTAAACTGTGAATATTTCAGAAAGGATACATATTTGTTATTTGTTCGTGATCCAAATATAACCAGTTATTAAGTACTCAATCACTCATTCTGAACCAATTGAAATATATCAGTTGAACTGAACTGAGTCAGTTCATGCATTCTTACGAATTCCAGTCATTTCCTCCACCTTACACTTGGTGGTGAATCGAAGTGAACTAGAAGAACCGACATTTTTCCCAATCACATTGCTCAGTTTCGATGTTTTTTCAGTTTGGTCCGTCTGGCAAAAATGTAAATCAGAAGAATATTAATGAAAATTTGTAATTTATGAATAGGAAATTGAAAAATCATTACTTCAACTTCCTTGAAGTGAAGATCTTAGCTGTATCAATAATACAAAAATCCAGCTCCATCACAATTCAGTTTCACATTGATCCGATTGGTCACAGGGTTCAGATCGAAAAAATATCACGTATCTTACAATGCAGCAATTTCAGAAAATTTATTGGAAATTATAACGTCAGTTCATCTAAACTTGCTTCTATAGTATAATGCTTGTTCAAGGCATTGGAGGGCGTTTTGATTTTTCATCTGGTTATATCAATAATAAAATTTTGTCAGTAACACATAACATGCGATTATTATTATCTCCATATTTAGAGACTGATTTCGAGATAATTTTCATTAACTAAGAAAATATACAGGGAGAAGCAAAAAGTGTATGAATTTCAAATTGAACACCCTATATAATTCCTCTCCTTTGGAAAGATCTTTTGAAGAGCTTTCCGAAAACATAATAGACATGTTTTTTTTCTTTGAGCTTAAAAACCTAACAGAGTTTAATTGATTTCGAATGATTTTTTGAGAGCAGGCGATGATAATGACTACAATATTGATTTTCAATGATCACCGCCAATGAGAATTAAATGTCATAGGTAGTGATATCGCGAAAGCGAATATACCTGGATTTGCAATCATTGTTATGACCTCAAGATTCTTTCAAAAATGGTTCAAACTCTGTTAATTTTGGATGCCCATAAATTGAGAAATAAGAGATATAATGAGTAGTATTTTTGGAAAGATCCTTGAAAAGCCTTTCTAATGGTAAGGAAATATTCAGGGTGTTTCATCCTACTGTCAAAATTTATTAGTTATTGGGGGTGGTACTGTATAACGGTGTCACCTGGTATAAAATTGCGTATGCCTCAAGGATTTTAGAATATTCATTTTTTTTAGAATCTTCAACTTCGTAAGATAATTTTACGAAACAGTTTAACTATGTAGAAGTGAGTGTAGATCAATTTATTGATGTATTCAGTTTCTGAGTTTATTACAGAATTGCAAATATTGTGTATGCAATACATTGCAAAGTTACCTTCTGCATGAGGGCTAAAATTTTCAGTCTCACCAGTTGGCGCTACTAGAGCGTGAGGTCTATGTCAAAGTCATAAAATCCAATATTTGTCGGATAGCCCTAAAGGCTAAGCCCTTTTTTTTTCAAAAATTAACTGAAAAGCTTATGTGGCTTATGTAAAGAAATATATAATCTCAGGTTATGGTTAGACTTGATCAGTTTTGCGTTTTTGATATCAATGTGGAACTATACGCCCAATTTTTACATTAACAGATAAGAAGGTATCGTAGGAAGATGCCGAACGAATAGAAAAATAATCACCTCACGTCTCGGTAGCGCGATCTGGTGTACAATCAAAATATGTTAGCCCCTCTGACATAAATTACTAACTAGACCGCTGATGCCATAAGATCAAAGTTCATTTATTTACGAGATCGAATTTGGTTCCATTGAGCTTGCGCATTTAGGGGTGTGTTTGATTATCAACTCTCAGAGTAGAGTAAACTCAGTTGAAAGTTTTATTGGTTTATTCTTTGTGGTATTCGAAAAGAATTTTGAATTATTTTGTTATTCACATCTGACATTGACATAAACATGTTTGTCAAGTTGACAAATTTAGTTCAGTCAGTTAGGGTTCAGTTCATGAAGCAGTAGGCAGATATTATATTCCAGTTGCAATTAAATAATGTTGATTGCCGCTTATCAATGTTGAAACCACGTCTTTGGCACTGCTAAAACAATGAATCATACTATACAATAAACCTCAATATACATGTATGATGGAATCGATAATTAATATAATAATCTTGTTATCGAAACAACACAACAGTACCTTAGTGCCTCACTTTATGACGATTTCATGATGTTTTTCAACATCTAAATATATAAGTTTGAATACTTTGAAGATATAAAAACAATCATAAACACCTATTTTGTGGAGTTACAAGAGTAATCTCGACGTCAAAAACTCCAGTATTTTCGACCTACACTCACAGAGTAAAATACACAATCTTGACAAATTTCAATTGCAAATGAGTAAACTCGACTCCACAGAGTACGTATTTGAACGCACCCCAAGACCTGTGATATACCTTACTCTCACTTATGTTTCTGAACACCAAGAGACATACTTGCTGTCATGAATGACAGTTTGGGAGTTTTTCAGGCGAGCAATTTGAATGACATTTTCGTGTTGCGTTTCGTGTTTGTGTAGCGGTCTAGATAGTAGTTATGTAAGAAACATCTACATTTTGCAACTATTGCATACAAATATATTGATAAATTATACTCTATGAATGGTGGTTGTTGAACAATGATAAATTGATATTTTTATACAGTTACTTAAAAGTAGGTGAAAATGTTGTCCTAGTCAATATACTGAACACATTTATTGTTATCACTTACTCACTAGGGCTCAATTAATCAATGTTTGACTTTGAGGAGACAAACCCCTCAATTTGTGTTGGGTTATTTGATCATTTCCCTCATCATAAAGGGTGTCTAGATAATGTTTGTATGTCATCAACAGTAATATCATGATGTTTTGAATAATCGAGATGATTCTGTAGCTTTGTTGTTCACGAAATTTTGTTGGTATTTCGCTAGACTATTTCATGAAGCATAAGAAGCATTCATTATAAACAGAAATCCGTTATGACATAACCGAAGCGACTCAACTGTCAAACTCTGCGTTGCCATCCATTTTTACATCCTTGAAAATATCAACGCCGATTGACCAATCATAATTGGAAGACAGCTAGTGTTTTCACGATAAAACTAGATTTTTGGTTTGTGATTGGTCAAATTATGTGAGAATTTTGAGATGAATGACATATTCATATGTAATACCACAAGTAATACTATTTTGCGGAAATATTCGGCGAATATCGAGTAGTTTTGGAACAATGTCACGATGGATATTGAAGGAGCTAGGTGGAGTATGTCAATCGACGAACATTTCCAGGAAAACTAGTATCACGAGTTGTATTCGTATGACTATTTCATAGTTGAATCAGAATAAATTATAATACAGACATCCGTGCCGTCAAAATTAAATACCTAGGTACCTACTACTTATACGTCAAAAACATCATCGATGGAGGTTGGTTGGTTTTGTGTGCGTTAATTCGTTGATTCGGCTTCTGTATTGGTGGAGGAAGTCCAATCAATTTTAGTAAACAAGAAAAAATCGTTCTTATGTTGAAATTCCGTGAAAATGGTCGATTCTGATTGGTTCTCGAAAACAAGATTGGATGTGTCATAATATTTTTTGAGCTTTTCAGTTCAACAAAAAAATGTCTCAATCAAAATCACGTTCAATTTGGACGTTTTTGAGGATCGAGGAGGATTTCTTCCTCAAGTAATATAATGAGCTCACAGACAAGTGGGGCTAAGACATTTCACCATGTAAATGTATAAATTCAAACATCCGATGTTTACTAGGTCAGAGACTGGGTGTATCTGCTCAAAGTCAAGCAATATTGTATAACCCATCTCTCTCTAAATTATTGTTATATATACTCAAACATACATATAGCCTATTTATATTATATTATATTTAGTGATGATTATCTGTTTCTAACAATTTAGTGAAAGAAAATGCTCGTGACGTGGGACAAAATATGTTAGGTGATAATAATCTCAAACATCACAAATTTAACTCTATTTCAACCACAAATAACGTACTCAAATTTCGATCACAAGCCAGAAACGCATGAATTTGCAGGAAATCACACTATATAGGTACTAATAACAATAATTATTATTGGTTATTGCTACGCAGGTTGTGATAATATTAGTTCATGATCAATGTTTTATCTATTTATTCAATACAATCAATTCGGCGGCTAGTATTATGAATTCAGTTCGTTTCTAAGTGACGAACAGCTATATTTTTCAGTTATTCTATAGCATAAAAAAAGCCTTCAGCATTTTATTTTTAGTTATGAAAAATGAGAATTAGATAAACTTTTCCCCAATAAAATTGTGCTTAAATACTACTGACCCATGTTCTTTCAAATACATAAATTATTCCCGAGAATATTCAGAAATATCAATATCTGGCTGCAATATTTTTTTAGACTTAGAGAAAAAAAAAGCGAAAGGAAAATTTCTATAGGTTGTTCCGAAAAATACTGGTGGGCCATTATTTCAAAAGTTTTCAAACAAAATTACTGATGAAAAAAAATGAAAATAGTGATTATTTTTATTGAGGACAGGTTATCAAATTTAATTTTAAGGAGCCCATGAGTTATCTCTTCTTTTTTAAAATCGCTTCAGCACCCAAAATATGTCAATAATAATTGTTTCAATGTTAATTACCTGAGTTTCTCTGATGATAATTATTGTAATTTCAGTGTTTTTTTTTGTTTTCGTACATATAAAATTTAACAAATATTTTTCCTGAATACAGTGATGTATAAAAAATAAAAAATGTTCATTATTATAAGACTGAGATGTACAGTCGTCTTCAGAGATCATGTCGCACATGGACGGTGTCCGCTTCCTTGATCACTACTGCAATAAGAGCGCTCATACCGTCCAACCGCGACATGTTCGCTGAAGA